CTGCAAGCCTGTTGGCTGCAAGCCTGTTGGCTGCAAGCCTGTTGGCTCACAAGCCTGTTGGCTGCAAGCCTGTTGGCTGCAAGCCTGTTGGCTGAAAGCCTGTTGGCTGCAAGCCTGTTGGCTGATAGCATGTTCTGGCGCATAGCCCATTGTTTTCAATCCAAAGCCTGTTGGCTGTGAGCCTGTGGGCTGGAGCAATGGCATTGGTATCCCCCCACCACTACCTATAGCCCACAAGAACATAGTTTTGATACTCTCTTCATGTTTTTTGTCCCACAAGAACATAGTTTTACTGTTTTCATGTATTTGGGAGGTTTGAGGTGCTGCTGTAGTACAAACAGTTTGTTTGTTGACTGGCACTGGTTGATTGCAGGCCAGCCGGTGGGCTCAAGTCAAGACTATGCCTGACAGGATTACAAGGGCGATGAACACCTCAGAGGGGACCTGGCTTATCATGGACTCTGGGTGGCAAACCTGGTTCCCTGGAAAACAATTAGGTATATTGAAGCCTTTATATCAAGAGCATTTTTATTAGTGTTTTGTTTTTGCTTTTGAGGTTTCCATTGGATGAGATAGTGAGGGTTGTTTTGTTTTTCATTGCCATCTGAGGCTTCCCTTGGATGAGATGAATGCCTTGGTGATCACAAGCAGCTGGCAGTGGCATAACAACCGCTGGTGGAGAGTTGCAATCTACGATGGTGGTGCCTTATTTGCACAGATATGATATGTGCAGAACTCAAAAAACTAGATTTGAGTGAGACCACTTCTTATGCTTGCAGGTTGGCAGAGATGGATTCCCAAGTATTGGTTGAATGAGCGTTGCTATGTGAGGAATGAGCTGACCCTAAGTATGTTCTGTCCATAGCCCTGGAGAGCTAGATGCCTGGCTATGCTGTTGAATAAAACCAAGTGCAATCTTGTTGTGTTGAAGGCCTGTTGGCTGAAGCCTTTTGGCTGTATTTGGTGCATTGAAGCCTGTTGGCTGGTAATCCAAAAGCCTGTTGGCTGAAGCCTTTTGGCTGTGTTTGGTGCGTTGAAGCCTATTGGCTGGTAATCCAGAAGCCTGTTGGCTGAAGCCTTTTGGCTGGGTGCATTCAAGCCTGTTGGCTGTTCATTGACAAAGCCAGTTGGCTGCAAAATTCTTTTTGGAGGAAATGTTGGATGAAGCCTCTTGGGTTAAAGCCTATTGGCTGCATGATTCTGGTTGTAAGCCTGTTGGCTGACAGCATTTGTTGTGTTTTCCCATGATGTTTTCACTGTTCACACCAAGGGTTCTGCAGTTGTAGCCTGTTGGCTCAAGTGATGCAAAGACACCTCAAAGCAATAAAAACAAATATATATAAAACAAATAGATATAGCAATACTTCTATTGATATATACATATATATGAACTGTAATGATGTTGACCCAAGACCATTTGCAATGATTATTACATTGCAGTTACCTTGGGTAGGTAGCCAAAATAAAAAACAACAGTTTTTTTAAGTTTAGAAATCTAAACTTAAAATCGCAGATCTCAATGTTAAGTTTAGAAATCTAAACTTAAAATCGCAGATCTCAATTTTAAGTTTAGAAATCTAAACTTAAAATCACAGATTCCAATTTTAAGTTTAGAAATCTAAACTTAAAATCACAGATTCCAATTTTAAGTTTAGAAATCTAAACTTAAAATCACAGATCTCATTTTTAAGTTTAGAAATCTAAACTTAAAATCACAGATCTCATTTTTAAGTTTAGAAATCTAAACTTAAAAATCAGAGGTATCATTTTTAAGTTTAGAAATCTAAACTTAAATGTTCATGCCTCACATATGAATTTTCAATATGAAACAAACAGTTTCCTTTCATTGCCCTACCAGTGGTATAGAAGCAATGGAAGTAAAGAGAGAGCGCAGCAGTTCCAGCAAAGACCTTTGGATTGATTCAATACATGTTTAATTTTTGTATTTTGTTTTTGGACCAGCACCAAAAACTGTGGAGAACTCAAGTAATTGAGGCTTATAGTCTGGGGAGCAAGGCAAAATGCAGGCCAAGAACAAGAAGCAGAACGCCCTTGCAAAGGAAGTATGTCAAGAATGAGATTGTGACCTCACCAGAGTATGACCCATTTACAGAGGGTCCAGCAACAAATGATGCTATGGATGCTGACTACTTCAGGTCCCTACAAGAGATGGAGGATGCGATTGACTTGGAGCCAAGTGTTGAAGCTACAAGCCAGTTGGCTGAAGCAGTAGAAGCTC